TTTTTTTAAATTTGCTATCATTGAATCACACTTTCAGACCAATCCAGAGAATTAAAATAAGAAATCTTAATGTGTAATTATGTAAATACTGACCTATCAAAACACTTAAAACCAGGTCTTCAGTCTTGGCTGCTGGTTTGGCTGCATCTAAAATGTAGAAAAGAGAAAATCCATACCAAAAAAGTACATTTAGTATTTGTACATATTACCATTAGAATATCTGCAGTTCACTTTTATCAGTCATTTAATATTTGTATTAGTGTGTGCATCTTCACTTGCAAGTGCTAACTACCTGTCGTGGCTGCCTGTTGATTGGCTGCAGAAGCTTTGGGTGTGGTGGCAATGGGGGTGTGGCCCGGTGGGCCACAGACCGGGCTAAGCCCATTTTCTAGTGGAGCTGATTTCAGATCAGTCTTACGCTCTGCACAGCTTTCAGTCTCCTCCTGGAAATCAATACCAAGACCTTTTACAGCCAAACTTTTAGCTCACGAGACAAAGAATGAATAGAATCGAAGCAGGTCTGACCTCAGTCTGCGTGTCCTCCTCGCCATCCTCCAGAGTCAGGGCTGCCAGCTGTTTAGATCTTTGCTCCAGAAGGTTGACATAGCGAATAGGGTTCGATAGAGCCTCGATTACATCTAGAAGAAATATGAACAAACACATACAGAGCTGATGGCATTGCATTGAGGACTATGTGGACATCATGAATATGGTTATGTGTATGTGACCATATCAGTTTGACTAACATGTAGCAATTATTTAAAACAGGAAGAAGTCATAGTTTTTGTGTACACATATGAAGATAAAAATTGAAATGTTAAAACCAAAATCAAGACCAAAATCAAGACCAAAATAAATAAATACATTTTCCACTGAATGCACCAGAAATATTAAAAATACACGCAAACATTTTTAATTTTAATTGGAGGGACATCGGTTGACTGGTTACAGTGGGCAGGCATCCTTTATGTATCAGATTATTTGACTGAGGGACTAAATGTTTTTTAAGCTTTGATAAAATTGTGGAATTATATAAGTTGCAGCGTAATCAATTCTGGAGATATGTCCAAATACATAGTTCATTATCGAAGTGGCTGGGAACCCCCTTGAGTTGTCCTGTGGGCAGCCCTGTGGAAGTCCTGCTCTCAAGATCATCCTTGGGTAAAGGCATCACCGCAAAGATTTATCAGTTATTGCAAGAACGGTCAGCTGACCCTCTCCTTAAAGTTAAGGGCTACTGGGTCCAGGACATGGCATTGGACATATCTTCAGTTGAATGGGATTCATGTTTTCAAAATGTTAATACTATGTATAAAGAAACAGGCAGTAGATTTATTCAACTTAAGATAATCCATAAGTGGCATCGAACACTGCAACAATTGTATAAATGGAACGTGGCCTCTATGGACAAATGTTGGAGATGTGATGGTCAAAATGCTTCAATTTTACATATCTTATGGAGCTGTTTGGCACTTTGGGATTGGTAGGAAAACATAATGGAGGTAATTTTCAGTGTTTTGAAAAGGAGATTTGGTATCTCACCAAAACTGTCCATACTTGGTAGAACCACACAACTTTCTGATGGAGATTTTTCCAGTTATACAAAAAGATGGATTATTCTGGCTCTTACTACGGCCAAATGGGTCCTGCTAAGACATTGGCGGAAAAAGAACCCCCCTCCCTGTGAAGAGTGGCAAAATGGCAATGGCTAAGTTGGCGTCTTACGAAAAAGTGACTTATGGCTTATTAGACAAATTGCATCAATATGATTGTATTTGGTCCCCCTTTACAAGCTGGCTTTCTGTAACTTGAAGAACAGAGGAGTAATGACAGAGTGGTGGTGTGGGGATTGGTGTGTTTTTTGGGGTTATTTTTTTGTTTGTTTTGTTTTGTTTTTTAAATTATTTATTTATGTATTTATCTTTAAGTTCTGTTATTGAAGTTTAAATGAAATAAATAAAAATTGTTTATGATAAAAAAATACACGCAAACATGAATTAATTTATAAAAATATTTAACTTTGTATTAATTCCCCTATTTATTTACATCCTTATGTGATTTTCATTTTTT